CCGGGACCCCTTGAATTGGGCTGAAATGAGGCAAAATGGGGGGTAAAATGGAGGTCAAGGCCTCCGGGACCCCCAAGTCTTCTCCATGTGGGGCAGAAGGTGCCGTGGGTCTCCCCGACGCTGCCCCCCAACCCACCCTGCCCCATATTTCTCCCCACAGCCACCCCCCTGCCCTACATCTGCAGCCGGTGCGGCCGGTCCTTCCCCCGGTGGTCGGCCCTGGAGGGTCACCGCGGTGGCCACGGTGGCCGTGGGGCTGCCCAACCCTGCTGTGGGGAGCGTGGGGAGGTCTCCTCCCCGCCCCACAACCTGCCCCACCACCTCCAGACCCACAGCAGTTGTGGGGAGAAGCCCTATGGTTGTGAGAAGACCTCCAAGCAGGATGACCACCTCCTGGAGCACCACCAAAGCCATGGTGGCCACCATCCTGACGTCCATGGTCAGCTCCCCGAGGAGACCTCCAACCCAACCTCCAGACCCACAGGTGACCTCCAGACCCACAGCGGTGGTGGAGAGAAGCCCTATGCGTGTCCCAACCAGAGCAAGACCTCCAACCACCTGGAGCACCACCAAGCCCATGGTGGCCACCATCCTCACGTCCATGGTCAATGCCCCCAAGGGACCTCCAACCCAACCCAGCACCTCCAGACCCACAGCGGTGATGGAGAGAAGCCCTACACGTGTCCCAACCAGAGCAAGACCTCCAACCAGAGTGACCACCACCTCAACCAGCACCAAGCCCATGGTGGCCACCATCCTGACGTCTGCAGCCAGGTCCCTGAGGAGACCTCCAACCCAACCTCCAGACCCACAGGTGACCTCCAGACCCACAGCAGAGGTGGGCAGACCCACAGGTGACCTCCAGACCCACAGCGGTGGTGGAGAGAAGCCCTATGCGTGTCCCAACCAGAGCAAGACCTCCAACCACCTGGAGCACCACCAAGCCCATGGTGGCCACCATCCTCACGTCCATGGTCAATGCCCCCAAGGGACCTCCAACCCAACCCAGCACCTCCAGACCCACAGCGGTGATGGAGAGAAGCCCTACACGTGTCCCAACCAGAGCAAGACCTCCAACCAGAGTGACCACCACCTCAACCAGCACCAAGCCCATGGTGGCCACCATCCTGACGTCTGCAGCCAGGTCCCTGAGGAGACCTCCAACCCAACCTCCAGACCCACAGGTGACCTCCAGACCCACAGCAGAGGTGGGGAGAAGCCCTACACGTGTCCCAACCAGAGCAAGACCTCCAACCAGAGTGACCATCACCTTGAGCACCACCAAGCCTGTGGTGGCCACCATCCTGACGTCCCCGCCCAACTCCCCGAGGAGACCTCCAACCTGCCCCAGCACCTCCAGACCCACAGCGGTGGTGGGGAGAAGCCCAACGCCTTCAACCAGAGCGACCACCACCTCAACCACCACCAAGCCCATGGTGGCCACCATCCTGACGTCCCCACCCAACTCCCCGAGGAGACCTCCCGCTGCGTCTCCGCCCCCGTGGAGCGCCCCCACCGCTGCGGGACGTGCGGCAAGACCTTCTCCCACCGCTCCAACCTGCTGAAGCACGTCAAGACCCACGGCGGGGACAAGCCCTTCTCCTGCGGCGACTGCGGCAAGGTCTTCGTCCAGAGCTCCGAGCTCCTCCAGCACCAACGGCGCCACACGGGGGAGAAGCCCTTCTCCTGCGGCGACTGCGGCAAACGTTTCGGCCACGGGGCCACCTTGGCCAAGCACCGGCGTCTCCACTTGGGTCTCCAGCCCCACCGCTGCGGGGAGTGCGGCCGGGCCTTCGGGCTCTTCTCGGCCTTGACCCGTCACCGCCGGACCCACGGCGAGGAACGTCCCTTCTCCTGCGGGGTGTGCGGCCAAGCGTTCTCCTTGAGGTCCAACCTGGTCCTCCACCGCCGGACCCACGGCGGGGAACGGCCCTACCGCTGCGGGGAGTGCGGCAAGACCTTCGGGGTGAGCTCCACCTTGGTGAGACACCAACGCATCCACACCGGGGAGCGGCCCTACGGCTGCGGGGTCTGCGGGAGGACCTTCCTCCGCAGCGCCCACCTGGAGCAGCACGGCCGGACCCACACCGGGGAGAGGCCCTACGGCTGCGGGGTCTGCGGCCGCCGCTTCAGCCAGAGCTCCAACCTCATCACCCACCAGAGGGTCCACCTGGAGGAGGCCCAGGAGCTGGCGGGGAAGATGGGCTGGGAAGGGCAACCCAGCTTGGAGATGTTGGAGGGGAGGTTGGGCTTGAAGCTCCTCCGGGGTCAACTGGGCTTTGAGGGTCAACCAGGCTTTGAGGGTCAACCAAACTTGGAAGGTCAACCAGGCTTGGAGAAGTTGGAGGGTCAACCAGGCTTTGAGGGTCAACCAGGGTTGGAGGGTCAACCAGGCTTGAAGACGTTGGAGGGTCAACCAGGCTTGGAGGGTCAACCAGGCTTGAAGACATTGGAGGGTCAACCAAGCTTGGAAGGTCAACCAGGCTTGGAGGGTCAACCAGGCTTAAAGACGTTGGAGGGTCAACCAGGCTTTGAGGGTCAACCAGGCTTTGAGGGTCAACCAGGCTTGGGAGGTCAACCAGGATTGGAGGGTCAACCGGGCTTAGTAGGTCAACCAAGCTTGGAGATATTGGAGGGTCAACCAAGGTTGGAGGTGTTGGAGGGGCACCTGAAGCCCAAGATGGTTGGGGGTCAACGGGGCTTGGAGACGATGGAGGAGAACCCCAAGACCAGGAGGTCCAAGGTGGGGCACCCCATGGAGTAGGACCCCGTGGAGGAGAACCCCATGGAGGAGAACCTCAAGGTGGAGAACCCCATGGAGGAAGACCCCATGAAGAACCCCAAGGTGGAGAACCCCAAGGTGGGGCACCCCAAGTTGGAGAACCCCACGGAGGAGAACCTCATGGAGGAGAACCTACCAAACTTGGAAGGTCAACCAGGCTTGGAGGGTCAACCAGGCTTGAAGACGTTGGAGGGTCAACCAGGCTTGGAGGGTCAACCAGGCTTGAAGACATTGGAGGGTCAACCAAGCTTGGAAGGTCAACCAGGCTTGGAGGGTCAACCAGGCTTAAAGACGTTGGAGGGTCAACCAGGCTTTGAGGGTCAACCAGGCTTTGAGGGTCAACCAGGCTTGGGAGGTCAACCAGGATTGGAGGGTCAACCGGGCTTAGTAGGTCAACCAAGCTTGGAGATATTGGAGGGTCAACCAAGGTTGGAGGTGTTGGAGGGGCACCTGAAGCCCAAGATGGTTGGGGGTCAACGGGGCTTGGAGACGATGGAGGAGAACCCCAAGACCAGGAGGTCCAAGGTGGGGCACCCCATGGAGTAGGACCCCGTGGAGGAGAACCCCATGGAGGAGAACCTCAAGGTGGAGAACCCCATGGAGGAAGACCCCATGAAGAACCCCAAGGTGGAGAACCCCAAGGTGGGGCACCCCAAGTTGGAGAACCCCACGGAGGAGAACCTCATGGAGGAGAACCTCAAGTTGGAGAACCCCATGGAGAACCTCAAGGTGGGGCACCCCATGGAGGAGAACCCCGTTGGAAGGAGAACCAGGCTTCGACGGTCAACCAGGCTTGAAGACATTGGAGGGTCAACCAAGCTTGGAAGGTCAACCAGGCTTGGAGGGTCAACCAGGCTTAAAGACGTTGGAGGGTCAACCAGGCTTTGAGGGTCAACCAGGCTTTGAGGGTCAACCAGGCTTGGGAGGTCAACCAGGATTGGAGGGTCAACCGGGCTTAGTAGGTCAACCAAGCTTGGAGATATTGGAGGGTCAACCAAGGTTGGAGGTGTTGGAGGGGCACCTGAAGCCCAAGATGGTTGGGGGTCAACGGGGCTTGGAGACGATGGAGGAGAACCCCAAGACCAGGAGGTCCAAGGTGGGGCACCCCATGGAGTAGGACCCCGTGGAGGAGAACCCCATGGAGGAGAACCTCAAGGTGGAGAACCCCATGGAGGAAGACCCCATGAAGAACCCCAAGGTGGAGAACCCCAAGGTGGGGCACCCCAAGTTGGAGAACCCCACGGAGGAGAACCTCATGGAGGAGAACCTCAAGTTGGAGAACCCCATGGAGAACCTCAAGGTGGGGCACCCCATGGAGGAGAACCCCAAGTTGGAGAACCCCATGGAGAACCTCAAGGTGGAGAACCCCACGGAGAACCTCCCCGTGGTGGGGCACCCCCGGGGGGCGGAGCTTCTCCCCACGGCGGGGGAAGGGTGGGGATGGACAACCCCCCGACGCCATTGGCTGAGGGAGGGGGTGGGCGTGGCCGGGGCGGGGAGGT